AGTATAGTTATTTAGGGCCAGTTTGATTTATGTTCTAGTTTTGAGTTTTGAATCCATTTTTAGTTTTTGGTTTTGAAGGCCTGTCTTAAGATTGTTAAAAATATGTTTGTTTTGACAATTTTAAATATTGTTTCTCAAAATAGAAACCAAAACATACATTTAGTTTGAAATTTTGAAAAATAATTTAATGATAATTTATTTCAATTAATTTGATTATTCAGTAAAATAAAATAATTTTATGTTATAATATATTATGAAGTAATATATACATTTAAAATAGTGAATCATAAAATATTAGTTTCCCACTACAAAAGTAAAATAAATTAATAATAAATGAGTTGAGAAAATATAGGAAATAATAAATAAAAATTAATGACATGGACAAATTTTTTTTTTTTTTAATCTATTTTCATTTAAACATATATTTTTATAATTTTTATGTGAATAATCCTTGAGAGCTTGATTATTTTTTATATAATTTTATTTTTGTAGAATTTTATTTTCAATTATTTTTTTTGGAATAAAATTTATTTAAACGTTTGTTTTTCGTGTTTTGAGTATTTTCAGAGTTTTTAATGAAAACATCAAAAATGAGTTTTGGGTTTTATTTATAAGTTCAATCTTGTTTTCAAAATGTATTTTCAAAAATATCATCTCAAATACGTTTTGGATGTTATAAAATTAAAAATTAAAACTGTTCGAAAATATCAAATCAAATGCACCCTTAATTTTTCATTGTTTTTGTACGTCAATCGTTTTTTTATCTTGTGTTTTCGAATGTTAACAAATGTTTTGCTAAATATTTAGAAGAAATGTATTTCTTCTAATATAAATTTTGTTGATTATTTTTCAAGCCGCTCCAATATTCATTGTTTTTGCTTCTTTTTTGTAGGAATACGATTTCATCCGTTGCAGCTAGATGGATAGTTTTCAGCAAGTATTGTTATTTTCTCAACTACTGATTTTTTTACTTATGTTTTATTAACAACATAAGCAAGAGGGAACAAATTTAAAAGCTGGCTAGGCCTTACTGGTGGAGTACAAGAGATGGCAGAACATTCTTGGAACGTTGGCAGAGGGGGGGAGGAGAAAAGGCCTATTGGGTTAAGAGCCTAAAGCATGCTGGGTGCAGCTGGGCTAAGTCGGGTCTTATCGGGGTTCAGTGATTTAAATTTTATTGCTTTTTCGTAATTGTCCTTTATTTTCAATTAATATTAGGGATGCTTTTGTAGGGTTTTTGCTTGTGGAACACTATATAAGCCCCCGTTTTGCTCTCAATAAATTTATGGGTTGTGCTAGTGGTACATCACACCCTACATAAGGGTGTCCATTAGCCCCCGTTTTGCTCTCAATAAATTTATGGGTTGTGCTAGTGGTATATCACACCCTACATAAGGGTGTCCATAATGGACACCCAGCTCCTCTTCATTGGATGAAGTGCCTGTGGGGTCGGCACTTCATCCAAT